TATATATATATATATATATTTTATATATATATATATATATATATATATAGACGACATATAAACTTAATATATAATATTATAAATATTATAAATATTTGTAATACATAACAATTATCAAAATTACATTTCTGAATAAAAATTAAAAGAATGTAATAAAATTTTGCTTATATTTTTTAGGCTTATACTCGAAAATCATCGAATATAGAATCAATACGAGAAATTTTGTCACAAAAAAAATTCGAATGTCGAAGTAAACAATGCTGGTTAGATATAATATTGCAAATGTATAAGTGTTTCGTATTAAGAAGTGAATTTGAAAATAAAAATAGGATAGATTCTCCTTCATTCATTCCTTCATTATCATTTAGACGATCTATACGAGATTCTCAACAATCTGGAGCATTATCTTTTTCAAAGTTTGTATAAATTTTTTATAGATAATATTAAGTAGTCAATACTATTAATTTATTATATTTATTTATTACATATTTTATATTACGCGTAAAATATATTCTTCATCAAAATTTTATTTAAAAAAATGATTAAAGAAGGATTTTCTAATACAAATATATATGCTTTTTAAGAAAATAATTCTTATTAATTCTATTTATTTATTTTAAAATAAAAAAAGATGAAATCAAAATTTGAAAATTTGAAAATTTTTGTAAAATATTGTAAAATAAAAATTGTATTATGTATAATACTATTATCAAATACATCTTATAGAACAAAAAAAAAAGATGTTTTTTTATTTAAATAAATTTTAATTTTGATTAATTTGTATTAGTAGACAAAGAAAAAAAATTAAAAAAAATATGCATATTAAAAAAATTATATAATTTTTCCCCAAATATTCTTAAAATATTTATTTTTTAGTTTCCATAAAGGATCTGAAAATATAATTATTGAAAATATTCATTCAAAGATCATCGATAAATCATCCGATATTAATTATTATTCTCTCGAAGAACGATTGTTATTGGGGTGGTTGTCTTACCATTATGAAGAAGGACGTAAACAAGAATGGATGACTGATTTTCGCGTAGTGTTAAATCCCTATGAGAGTAAAGATATAGCAGAGGCACGTAACATTAAAAATTTTGATAAAGATTTGTCGGATTCTTTGGTATTAATTACCGTAACAGCTGCTTATTGTCCTTTTCTTATCGAAGAAAGTTTAAATAATATCTATATCCAGCCACGAAACTATGAAGAGGTATTATATGTACATGCAACATTTAATAATCGTCTTATTTATACGGCTCATTCTCATTTTAATTATATAAATAAATTAATGGTAGTATTTAAATGATAATTGAACTTAGTTGTATATATTATTATATATATATATATATATATATATATATATATATATATATATATCACACGAACGTGTATTAATTAAGTTTAAGT